AAAACAAAAAGTTCCGAAAAAAAGTCTGCGACAAGTAGAAGTCGGCAAAACGAGAGTGCGAAAGCTTTATGATCGCTTGCTCAATGATGCAGTTCAATGCGTTATTATGGACGACGAAACGTATGTCAAATTGGACTCGAAAACTTTACCCGGCCCTCAGTTTTATACAAAAGTTAAAAGTGGAACTGCTGACGAGTCGGTGTCAACAATTCAAGTCGATAAATTTGGGGAGAAAGTGCTAATATGGCAGGCCATTTGTACCTGTGGCCTAAGAACCAGTGCTTTTTTCACAAAAGGGACAATCAACGCCGATGTGTACATGAAGGAGTGTTTGAAAAAGCGTCTTATACCTTTTTATGAAAAACACAATGTGTTAAGAATATTTTGGCCAGATCTGGCGTCCGCGCACTATGCCCGCTCAACTTTAGCGCTACTTGACTCAAAAGGCATCAATTTCGTGTCAAAAGAGGAGAACCGACCAAATTGCCCAGAGCTCCGGCCAATTGAGCGATATTGGGCATTAGTTAAAAGAAATTTAAAGAAGGATGGTAGTCTCTCCGAAAACACGGAAGATATGAAAAAAAAAAACTGAATGCGTGCGACCCGTAGGATTACCAAAGAGTGTGTGCAGAACGTAATGAGCGGTGTTAAGCAAAAAATTCGATCAAAAATAAGAGGCTAGACATTTTTTTAAATTTATTAACAAAATTGAAAGTTAATGTTTTTCTCTAAAATTTAAAAAAATAAAAATTGAAATCGGAACGAAAACATCGAAGTTATAAGAAAAACAAAGTGTGCAGTTTCTTTTCGGCACATTCCTTACAAATACAATCAACAATAACACCAGACAATAAAAACTTCATGAACATTTATGCACAATAAAAACATTGCGCTTTGTTTTCCATATTGGTCTTATTAATTTAAATGAAAAAAATGACAATTAGAGCATTTAAAAAAGAAGAACATTTTCACGCCCATTTATATAAGTGAATGCTTCAACAGATTACCTGATTTTTAAGCGGTGTCACAAATAAAGAGTTGCTAACAGATTAAAAAAATAGTTTTTCAGCTAACTGAAGTGTTTACTATTAATATATAAGAACATTTACTTAATATTTCACCATCAATTTTATGACTTTATGCCACCTATCATGGAAAGTCGCCTATAGTGCGTTTTCTAAATAAGCAATGATATTATTGGAGACTAGTAATTCCCGCCCTTTTCAAAAACATACGTGTTTTTTTTATAGCAAGTGCTAAGCTCCTTATACCCGATACTCTATATGAGTATAGTCTCATGTCGTCTGCTCTACTGGACTATAAGAACTAGAGCAAGGAAATTTTGTATGCAGACTTCTGTGTAATGTCACTGTTACAAGTATATTACAAAATTTCGGCCCACCCTCTTCCGCCCCCACAAAGAACGAAAATCTGTGGCATCCACTACTTCGAAGATACGAGAAAATTAAAAATACACAATCATAGAGAATGACCATATATACCAGATTGCCGAAATTGTATCAGATGGGATCATTATTATAACCAAAAGGAGAAACTTAATTTGCTGTGGCTACGCAGCGCACGACGACACGTTCTGACTAATTTTCTGTAAGCGCCGCTTGGCGGAGGAAATCCATACTGACTAAGTATCGGGTATAAATGTACAGTTGCGGTCACTGCATAAACTCGCAACGTTCCCCCTCGTTTTTATTGGCTTTACTGTGATTGTAGAAAAAGGCAGCACTTGTGTTATTGACGGAAACTTAGCTGCCAAAATTCTTGGAGATTCATTACCCAACGAAAAAACTTCCTCACTGGACCACTATTTCGCCATATTTACTAATTTAGCTTTCTCACACATACTTTTGGAGGGAATAAAGAATTTTAGTAAGAATATAGTCGTCTAGACTAGACTGTAAACTAGATATTTTAAAACAATGCACTGCACTTTAGTATGAAAAGTTGAATGTTTACTATTTATTGTTGACTTAAATTTTAGATCTGGATTTTAGTCATCCAGACTTCCAAATTCCAGTCCTTTTCTTTAAAACCCCAATAGGCGAGAAAAAGATAGAGCAAGGCGCGAGAGCGACTGGCAACTTGTTTTCTTCATTGTCTTTAATAAAATTATTTACATATTTTATTATTAAAATTAACTTTTTGGAATTAATATTCCAACTAATTAAGCTGAGCGCTTAAGCGGGGTTTTTCAATCGAAAGGGATGGACAAAAAAGAATCCTCATTCGTAATAAAAATTCAATTCGTTTAAATGTAAATGTATCTTATGTATTTCCAGGCTATTGTGATATCATACTGAATCGAGATTATTTACAAAAATGTGTTCGCCCTTCTGCCTTCTCAAATCGATGTTACATATTTATTCATGTTGAGATATTATCATTATATAAATGAGTTCTTCAACTTGGCTGACTTTTCCATGCCGGGCAATCTCTTCTTCTCTTACTCTCACTTTCTTTCCTTCTCCCTCACTCTCCCTCTCTGTCTCTATATCAATGTGGCTTAGAAATGATGCAGAAAATTATCTCTCTCTGTCTTTCTACTTTCATTACCAGACTAGTACATACTTTTGAAAATATCCCCATTCAGCCATCACATCTTTGATATGTCAATGCATACATATCTTGAAATCTTGAGGTACGTGTACGCCGAGAGAATGGTTTTACTTCGAGATTTTTAAATTTTTTAATATTTTAATTCTAGAACACCAATTCAAGTTGAGTCCCACCAATTTTATTAAAAGCGAGAACCAGTATAGGCTAAAAGTAAAATAAAACAGTCGCAAACTATTTAAATTATGCTATCATTATGAGTCAAGAAGCGATGATAATACTGCATAGAAGGTGCTTTTACTAAAAGAAATATTTACACGATCAAGATTTCTGGATTGTTAGATACAGTAGACGCTCGGAAATTAGAACCACTTTGTAAATGACGTGGTTCTAATTCTCGAAAGATTCTAATTTCTGGACGGATTTTTTTTCAAACAATACAAAAAACTACTCTTTTTATACCCGATACTCAAAATGAGTATTGGGGTATATTAGATTTGTGGTGAAAATGGATGTGTGTAACGTCCAGAAGGAATCGTTTCCGACCCCATAAAGTATATATATTCTTGATCAGCATCAATAGCCGAGTCGATGGAGCGCTGTCTGTCTGTCCGTCCGTCCGTCCGTCCCTATCAGCGCCTAGTGCTCAAAGACTATAATAGCTAGAGCAACGACATTTTATATCCAGACTTCTGTGATATGTCACTGTTACGAGAATATTTCAAACTTTGCCCCGCCCACTTTCGCCTCCACAAAGGGCGAAAATCTGTGGCATCCACAATTTCAAAGATACAAGAAATCTGAAAACGCAAAATCGTAGAGGATGACTATATGTTCTAGAGTGTAAAATCTTAACCAGAATTATTATAGCCAGAATCAAGAAAAAAATTTCATTCTTTCTCGCTCTGTCTCTCTCTAACACACAGGTTTCATGGTCGGTTTTGCCCATTGCAAAATGTGAGTTTAAGGATCTCAGAGACTAAGAGCTAGAGCAACCAAATTTGCTATCCACACTCCTGTTAGATTTCACTATAAAACGTATATATTTCGCCCTTCCCCCTTCCGCCCCACAAAGAACGAAAATCTGTGGCATCCACATTATTGAAGATACGAGAAAACTAAAAACACACAAGCATAGAGAATAACCATATCTATCAGGTGGCCGAATCTGGTTCAGATCGGATCATTTTTATATCCAAAAGGAACAAATCAATTTGCAGTGGCTACGCAGCGCCCGACGACATTTTCAGACACGTTTTCTGTCTCTCGCACTCACTCTTTGTCGTGCTGTTTAATATTAGCGGCGTCTGCCGGAGGAGAGCCATACTGACTAAGTCTCGAGTATAAATGTAGAGTTGTGGTCTACGCAACTCGCAACGCTCCCCTCGTTTAAATTATTTTTACTGTACATGATACAATTTTCAGTGCTTCAGTTTTGTTTCATATAATCTAAGATACTGGCTTGTTTTTTGAGCTGCTTCAAATTATACATCACTATATCACTACGAAGGGCCAAGAGATTGGATATATGTTTATTTGTGTAAGTCTTTTTGCACTATTTTAGTATGTTGCTTGCGTTTTCCATAGCAAGGTTATGAGAAATTGGTTCTTCAATATCAACACTTTCGTCATATGAATAAAGTTGGATTTTATCAACTCGTACACTGGCTTTTCTGAACTGAACTGTCTTTACTTTGTACGCACATGCTAATATTCCAGAAAACCAAAGTGAAGTAAAAAAAAATACCCTCTGAAATTAGAACTACTGGTTCTAATTTTGAAGAGTTCAGTGCAAAAAAACGGTCGGTTCTAATACCTGGAAGATTCTTATTTCTGAGATTTATAATATCCGTGCGTCTACTGTAATACGAATATTCATACAGCCATGCTTCGGTTATTGCAAATCGCAACAAATTTCGAATTGACTGTCAAATCTCAAAAATGCTTTACGATTTAAAACCGGTTGATAATGAAAAAAATGAATACCACATAGCACATAAATACACATATTTATGAGGGTAAAAAAAATATGAACATGTTTTCTGACGTTTTAAGTTTTTATGTATACAGTTGGAAATTTGTTTTCGTATATCTCAATATATTCAGTAAGTTTTTTTCTAATCGCAAATAAAATGTTACTTTACCCAAATAAACCAGAACAATACAAAATTTTAAATTCCCGTTGACAGATAAAATATCGATATAAATTGTTGGCATGGGTTACAGATGTCGTTTTTCTAGTTTTACAGTCTCTTGATGGTTAAGGGGCCAACAAGCGGACGAACAGATAGACATGGCTATATCAACTCGGCTATTGAAACGCTATTTACCATAACAAATATGGCATTTTTCGATAGTTACAATGTTAAAGAGCGTATTATAGGCATACATTTTTAAAATAAAGTGATTTTACCTTATATGTTTTATAGAATTCTGCAAGCTTAGTGGGTATAGATTACCACTCGGCGGAAATGCATGGTTCGCATGCTTCACCGAATCAAGATCGCAAAGGTCATAGTAAGCCTTCGGATCTTTCGCTCTTACAAATAATTGGACCGGCCGTGCCTTCAACACCGACATTAATCCCTGGGTTCTTAGGGGGGTCAGACAGTGATGCACGTGGTATTACCAAGGAAAATACGATCGCAAGTTCACAACAAGTTGTTGCTGTGATTACCGGTGCTTCCGTGTCTACATCTGCAGTCGTTCTTACCGACAGCGGAAGTAAGGAATGTAATGCAATACACAAATGTGTTCAAGAAAATCCGCTGTATCCCATTTTGTGCGTTGCTTCATCTACCTCTCGACCCCAAGTAAGTTTCTTTTGCGTTACCATATCGTTAAAATCTAGTTTTTTTTTTGTTTATTTAAAAAATTGGCTTATTCTTTATTTCTAATAGCATCCCAATTCTGGAATATCTGCTAGAAATGACACCAGTGTGACTGCTTCAACTAATAATGATCAATCCATTATTTTTGCTACAAAGATTTCTGCACCAAACGGACTACCATCAGCGGGCCAACGGCCACTTGTTCCATTATTACCTTGTGGTCAAAAAACTCCTGGTAGTTTAGGACTTGGCTGTCAATTTAGTGCGCGCATCTCAACTTCAAGTTCTGGATTACCAATTTCGTCGCCGTCATCGGGTGTAGTGCTAGCAAACAACCTGAAATCAAACGATACCGTTACAAGAAGTATAAGTCATAATAATGTTACAGCCAGTGGCACTGGATTGTTCTCATCTTCGATATCAACATCTTCCGTAGAAACACTAAAAATCACCAATAGTTCAACATCTACATCGAGCAATCCAGTTATCAATGGTTTTCTTGGTGATTTTCCGACGATTAGTAGTACAGCAAAAACCCCAATTAGTACACAGCCACGCGTTTCTCCTCATGCTACAACTAAACTGATGTCGGCAGTTTCTACAACAATATCGATCAGCAATAGCACAGTTGGAAATTCTAGTTCGGTTTGTAGTAGTGGAGCTTCAAGTGCTTCTGGGTTGGGCAAAATAGTCTTTGGAGTAGGGGCAGGTGCACTTGGGACTACGGGGCCGCCATTACTTTTTCCCGGAGTCCCACCCCCTCCAATGTCTCATGTGGCTACGGGCTTGCCTATGCTTATTCAGGCACCCCCATACCGTACACCTTATCCTAATTACTCTTTGTACACACCATACAGCAACATAACGCACGGACCGTACCTGCCGCCAACATTGCCGACTGCATCGCCCAACACATCATCCTCTCCGCTTCGTATCTCAGATGCACGTAGCAGTCGAGATTCACCAATAGTCCCGGCATCTTTGAAAGCTGCATCTTTAAGTTTCACAGTGCAACAGAGTGTCTCATCGACACCGGCGATGCGACCTATCACTCCACTCAATAACATCAGCGTTTCACAACCCGTTTCACAGTCGGCTGCAGCGACAACAAGTTTCCTTTCGGCAAACTCCACTGCTGCTCATTCGCTAAGCCATTTGCATGTATCACATTCCCATCATGTGCCTGTATATGCCAGTGGTGGCTTTGGCAATGCAACTACTGGGCCAAATACCACAACTTCGGTACCGTCTACTCCCGCCGTAACTTCGCTTGCAGCTACTACGCCACAAGCACATCCCCCTCCATCTACCCAAATGCTTCCACAGTCTGGGCAGTTTCCATCTGTGTCTCATTTGCTACCTACGCATCCACAGTTAGCGGCACCAATGCAATCACAACATCAACAGTTTGTGCGTTGCGGAGGTACACCTTACACATCAACTGTTCCTGCCTCCAACTTAAGCGCTACAGTTCTCACCGTCCAAAGTTTAACGACAGCAACAACGTCGTGCTCATCATCTGTATCTGCGTCATCATCGTCATCTGTGATCCAAAAAATAGTTTCACCCAAGGGTGAAAGTCCCTGCAGCAAAGATCGAGATCCCGTATACAGGTAATGTGAAAGTAAATATATGAAAGCATAGATAAAATATAAATTAAAGACGTTATAAATTTGATAAAACAAATTTAGAATTATTACATAAACACTCTTAAGATTAGGTATAAAATGAGTTATCTTAGATCGCATTACATCGGCATTTAATTTTAAAATAGCTTAGACAAAAATATGTTTTCCACAGTCTTATATCTTGACCAATCCTTTCTACCGAAGCTATGTTTTAGTGATCTGATTTGTTCTGCGGGCAAAACCAAAAATTCTCCAAAAAAGTAATAATAATTTTTAAAATAGCTGTCGCACTTTTTAAAGCCGTCTTGTACAAAATCGAAAATTCTAAGACGTGCAACCGTTATGAATTCTTATTCTGACGTTAATTGTAAAATAATTCTTAGCATGAAACCTTACAAAAAACGTATGCACAGTGTCAATGAAGGTCAAGAAAAAATTTTGCAAGAAAGACGATATGACTCTTCAGTGACACGAAAACTGAAAGAAACACGAAGTTACATCTGCTACAGAGAAACCAAAAATCAGAAAATCATGAATCCTGTATCCTTTCCGGAACTGAATTCAACCAACATGAGTTAGAGCAGAAAATCGGAGGAAGAAATTCTCGATGAAGTTTGCCGTGCCACTTGAATCTGTCTCTATTTTCTCTATTAATTTGAAATAAAATATTAATATATATACCTTTTTGAAAAGGTAATACTGCGGGCTTTGTTTTTACATTTACAGTTGAAATTTCAAAGATCAATACAACCAGACGTAAGATACTTTAATGCTGTTCTAAAAAAACACTACCTCTGAAAATAACAGCAAAAAAACCTGATTTCAATAATTTAAAAAAAAAACGACTGATCTTTGAAAAATATAAAAATTTATTAAACTATTTTAAAGACACAAATCAATAAACAAAAAAACGTTGGTTTGGTTCACTCGGAATGATCTTTGATAATTTTTTCGATGTCCGCTCGCGACACCAGCTAAAAAAGACTAATTGTCTATGTGAGTGTCGTATTTAAGTTTCGCACTTTTGAAGAACGGAATTTTGAGTTATTTCAATTTACATTTTTTCCTTAATCGCCTTTAATGGATATTTCTATCAATTTTCTTAAAATTGCTGCTTAATTTAATAGAAATCAGAAAACAAATTTAATTCACCATTTTTTTTAAATGGTGCTGTAAATACTAGTGCCGTTAAGTTAATTTTTAGTGTGTGTATTCAAGTGTCGGGGAGTTTACAGTGGCGAGCACATGTGGATCCATGCTTATCACTTTTCACCATAGCTCGCAAACAACGGACAACACTTTTTCCCTTTGCTGTCTCGTCACTGACGAAACAGAAAAAGACCACGCATATACGGTCTCTCACTGAGCAGAACACTTTTTGTCTCTTCGCTTGTGTTTCGTGTTTTTGGTTGAGCCCGACACACGATCGTGTCTCACAATAACAACTTAGAGAGACACTTTTGGATCAAGCGCTCACAGCAAAAGTTTCTTTAGATGAGCAGAACCAAAAAAGTGTCTGAGTAAAGTGTTTTTAGTTTTTTATTCGTGTTTATTTATTTATTTATCTTTTCCGAATCTTTTGGGCTGTTGTGTTGTAATATGTATATTTACACACATCGGCATAAGTATTTTGACAAAAATTATGCACAACATATTCGGTTGTAACTTCTTATTTTTTCAAAGTAGAAACTATATTTATTTATCGTAGATAGGTATTATATTAAGCTATTAACAATATCTAAAAAAAAGTATGATAAGTGGGTTTATTGTGAAATGAAAATTAATTATCCCCAAACAGACGGTGGCATAAGTATTTTGACATTTTATAAAATGTAAAAAAAAACAAAAACGAATGGAACGAACTAACTTTATATGATGAATCAGCAAAATATATATCCTCCCTTTGCCTCTATCACCTTCTGCAGACGTCTCGGAACTGACTCTACTAAGCTGTGGATATAAGCTAGCAGAATTTCTCTCCAGAGTGATTTCACCTCTCAGATTATATTCTCACGGTTCCTTGTCAAATTTGGAGTCCGGTTTCTTTTTATATAAGACCAGAGATTCTCGATAATGCTTAAGTCTGGGCTCTGGGGCGGCTAGTCCAAAGTATTAACCCCAATGTTCTTCAAGAATTGGGTAACGACTTCAGCTTTATGACACGGGGCGTTGTCCTGTTTAAAGGTAAAGGACACCCCAATAAAATAATCTCCAGAGGAGAAAGCGTGATTGTTTAGCTTCCAAATATTTGTCTTTATTCATGCTACCATCAACAGGAACTAAATTTCGCGAGCCGTTGTAGGCGACGCATCCATAAAACATTATGGTCCCACCTCCATGGATCGCTCTTACACATATAGGTGCCACTTTTTTGCGACGTTCTTTTAGGTTTCTTACGGAAACTATTTTTTTTGGAAAAAGCACTTGCATCGCTCCATAAAAATTTTTTCCAAAATTAAAATTATTTGCCGATTAATTTTTTGGCAAACTCAAGGCGCTTTAAATTATTGCGCTGTGTTATTTGCACTATAGCTCTGGTAATATATGTTAAAAAATCAGTTTCCTTAAGACCTCTACGTATTGTCCGTTCGCTGACATCAAAATTTCCTGTTTCCTTCAAGTCATTTTCAACCGATCGAGGAGTTTTCAAGACATCCTGCTTAAATTGCCGTAAACTAAAAGTGTCTACCTTGACAGTTGTCTTTCGTGGTTTGCCACAACGTGTAGCGTTTTAAGCAGTGTTGGTTTTTTTAAATTTGTTTTTTTTTTAGCAGTTTGTCTGACGTGAAATATACTATAATCTACTGATATTTTGCACTGAAATACCAGAGTTGAACTTCACTATTATTTCATTTTTAAGAGATTCACTGAATTCCTTTCGGTTACTCATATTTCACAAATTATTGAACGAAAACAATTTTTATCAGCATTTACAATCTCTAAACTGAGATAATCCGAAATAATGGTTTCGCTTTCTATCAACAGCAGATCAATGCAAATTAATTGAAGTTCTGACAAAATACTTTTGTCCAGCCAAGATCAGATTACGAATGAGAATAAGAAGCATATTAACAAAACGCAAAATGCAACTACGAAGATAATTTGCAATATACTTTATGCATTCATGTAGTTAGCGGTAAATCAGATAAGAGAGCTGTAACACGTAGCAATTCGTCAAAATTCAACGCTAAACGTTGCGTAGAGCTCTGTCAAAATACTTATGCCGACGTGTGTATTTGCAAACTGAAGAGACATGATTAAGAAGAGATGTGATGATAATGGAGGTTATACCCGTTATAAATTATTTTGTACATATGGATGTATGTATATATCATTTTTTATTAATAAAAATTAAGCTTAACCACTAACAAGGAGTTAATATTTTCCGCACTTAAAGAGCTAAGTTTTTCAAAGTTTTTGAAAAAATCGGTCTTTGCTTGAGCGAAGAGCTAGTTGAGCAAAAACAGATTTGATCGGGTCTTTTCAGTCCCTTTTCTCAATGTGTCCTTAAATGAGAGGTTTTTATCAGACACGCCGAAAGTGTCAACTGTTATTTGCGAGGTCTGCAATCCTTGTGATTTTTTTTTGTTATAGATTCTTTAATTTAGTGAGAAAAAAAAACAAAACGATTTCAATTTAAAGAGATTTTAATTTTTTCATGAAAAGTCCATGTAGTCACTTTTTCAAGTTTCCAATTTGTTTACTTTAATAATTTGTTTAAAATATTTGTTCCAAGGGCCTTAGCTTTTGTCACATTCCGAATAAGTTTTGGAATACTTTCGACTAAATTTAGTATGTGCTTGCAAGGTATCATGTGCCACATACTAATATATATGTGCTCTAAAACTACAGTCATAGGTTTTTATTTTTTGTGCGAATAAAAGCCTTAGTTAGAAGTTCTTTTTATACCCGATACTCAAAATGAGTATTGGGGTATATTAGATTTGTGGTAAAAGTGGATGTGTGTAACGTCCAGAAGGAATCGTTTCCGACCCCATAAAGTATATATATTCTTGATCAGCATCAATAGCCGAGTCGATTGAGCCCTGTGTGTCTGTCCGTCCGTCCGTCTGTCCGTCCCCTTCAGCGCCTAGTGCTCAAAAACTATAAGAGCTAGAGCAACGATGTTTTGGATCCAGACTTCTGTGATATGTCACTGCTACAAAAATATTTCAAAACTTCGCCCCGCCCACTTCCGCCCCCACAAAAGACGAAAATCTGAGGCATCCACATTTTTAAAGATACGATAAAACCAAAAACGCAGAATCGTAGAGGATGACTATATGTCCTAAAGTGTAAAATCTCAACCAGATCGTATAATTATTATAGCCAGAATCAAGAAAACAATTTCATTCTTTCTCGCTCTGTCTCTCTCTAACACACAGGTTTCATGGTCGCTTTTGCCAATTGCAAAATATGAGTTCAAGGATCTCAGAACCCATAAGAGATAGAGCAACCAAATTTGGTATCCACACTCCTGTGATATCGGACCTTGACCGTTTTGTGTCAAAATTTCGCCAGACCCCCTTCCGCCTCCGCAAAGGACGAAAATCTGGGGCATCCACAAATCTCAGAGACTATTAACACTAGAGTAACCAAATTTAGTGTCCGCACTCCTGTTAGATCTCACTATAAAACGTATATCTCAGAATTTCGCCCCACCCCCTTCCGCCCACACAAAGGACGAAAATCTGTTGCATCCACAATATTGCAGATTCGAGAAAACTAAAAACGCAGAATCATAGATAACGACCATATCTATTAGATTGCTGAATCTGGATCAGATCAGATAATTAAAATAAAATAGCCAAAAGGAACAAATCAATTTGCACTGGCTACGCAGCGCCCGACGTCACGCTCAGACTGATTTTCTGTCTCTCTCGCACGCACTTTTTGTCGTGTCGCTTAATATTAGCGGCGTCTGCCGGAGGAGAGCCATACTGACTAAGTATCGGGTATAAATGTAGAGTTGCGTTGTCCGCAGCAACTCACAACATTCTCCCTCGTTATTGTTATTTCAGAGTTTTCACTTCTGGCATTTTGAAATAAACCACTTCTAATTGAATCTCAGAGAAATTCATTTCGCAGTCCGCAGTTGTATCATTTGTAAAAAAAAGACTTTTAATGGAATCATAGATTTCCTCTTTGCCAAGATGTAAACAAAATTTTTAATTAAATACCTATTCGGTTTCGAAATCTTCCAATCAAGTCCAAAATAAAAAAGGTCCAAATTGTAAAAGTGAACATAATAAATGTTACGGGTGCATGTCATCCTAAACAATTGCCGGATAAACAACAAAATATTCAGTGTCTCCTTTTCTTTTAAGGTTTTTTTTTTCGCTTACATTAGATATTGAAATTATTTTTAGAAATTTTGGGTCCGCTGTGACATTTTGGAAGATAGCGCTATGCCACTTTTAAAAGCAATATAACGCACCCAAAAGTTACACCAAAAAATAGAAAAATATGTTTTGTATTAATAAAACTGGTCTACACGCCAAATGGTTCAAAGATAGGAAAAGGATATTCTTATAGTATTTTCATCGCTGAACACTAACCTGATCTCCAAAAGTTCCAAAGTCAAGAAATGGACTCAAAGTTTCAAGACCTCTGTTTTTTTTTTTTACACTTTTTCGATCATTTGTAGAGAAGAATGGCGAGGTGCTAAACGTCTCTAATTAGGCTTACATAAGTTGCACTCATAGAGCGGTACACAATGGCACAATTCGCGCACATAAAAAAGCTACATGAAAATGTTGGATTGATTCAAAGCTTTTTCGTTTTGTTTCACTTGGTTGACAGTTCAAGCTTTTATTTAAGCCTCATTAGAGACTTCGGCATTACAAAGCCTTTTCTACTTTTGGAAGCCTTGTGCCGCGATGAAAATCCTATAAGAATATATCCTCGTCCGATTTTTGAACCAAAAAAAATTGTTTTTTTGTCGACCAGTGTAATTTTTAACTGTTATTTACTTGGCGCCAAAACTCTTTCACAAACCCAACATATCTTAATTAGAACTGAACTCTGTTAATTAATTTTGTACCCGACGTTTCTTTTTTTTTCCCCGAACAGACTTAACTTTTCTTTCGGATCTTGACTAGACTGACGATCCTTATTATTTGTATCGATCCGAGCTTTAAGTTCTCAAAGCTTTCGATAATGATGCAATGGTTTCGTGCCATTATTAAATTCAATTAATGTCTCTCTGAGATTTAATAAGAATGTTTGTTTACAAATGTCACAACGCTGGACTTTGAAATGAGTTTTTCTGAGATTCAATTAGAAGAGGTTTATTTATGAATGCCAGAACTGAAATCTATGAAGTAAATATGGAAAGAATTTCTGAGTAAGATTGAATTGAAAAGAACTGTAAAAAGTACACATCAACAGGTTGGTTAATTTGCACTTAGGTTTTGGTAATGGTTGAGTCAAAGATTATTAGTCAAGATTATTACATTACACATAACATAAAATTTTAAAGTTTAATAGCCGTCTATTTTGTAGCTCTTGTTTAAATAGTTAAAAAAGAGTCGAAGTTCCAAAGAGCATTCGTCTTAAAGATGTATTCCCAATAAATTTTCAAAAAAAATATTAAACTATTTTGATTAAAAGCAGAAGGAATATATTAACTTCAAAGTAGTTCCCTTGCTCTAAATGATTCTGTTTTAAGTGGACTTGTGGATACTTAATTTTGATAGACATGATTCGGCAGGGTTTTTCACGGTATAAGTAATAGCAACTCTTAAAAGAATTTTTCTAATCATAGCTAATATTTTTCTCCAGTACTACAAATCCGCGATCGAATGCCACATCATCAACTGGCCTTTCACAGGGTGTAAACATAAGTACACCATTTTGTGCCATCGCGCCGAGTCCATACGCTGGTATAACCATTTCATCATCAAATTCATCAATAACAGGACCAGGGACGGGTCTACCAGCCTATTCTCCAAAGACTGGGTTGTGGTTAAAGTAATTTCTTGGTTAACATATTTACTATTGAAATAACGTTATACTTTGCTTACAGCTCTACCTCTTCCGCTTTGGTATCAACACCCATCTCATCCACATCTGTTATATTTAGTGGTAGCGCCCGTCCAACTCCCCCGCCATTAAATATAGGAGCAGGAATGGGTATGGTGGGGACAGTGGCTCCGACGACAAGAATCCCATCCAATTCAATATCACCACGTGATATGTCCTCTGCTGGTGTCAGTGGTCATGTGACAGCCACAAACTTTCAGCCTACTTCGTACTTCCCCGCACATTTAGCACAACCAACGTCTTCTCCAGCAGCTCCAACCTCTGCTATTAACAGCTCAATTCCGCAAATGTCATTAGTGTCACACACATTGACCACTATTTCAACAACGGCAGCAGTTTCTGCTACCACGTCATCGTCCAACATACAAGGTATAACTCAACCTACGGGCGCAAATACAATTACACCCACACCGCATCCGTTTTCTGCAGAATCTCTTTTTCAGCCAAGTAAAAGTATGAGGACTAAAATTCCTAGAAAAATTAAACAAACGTTTACGTAAATATTTTTATTATTCGCATAGATGATCAAGCGGATTTGCTACGTCGCGAGCTAGACAGCAGGTTTTTGGATCGTTCTGGCTTGTCTGTCCCTCCTACACCACCATCGTCAACATATCTACGACAAGAGCTTCACCATCATCAGCACCAGCATACTCACTTGCACCAGCATCAGCAGTTGTTGCCCACTGCATCCGTATCAGCAACAGCAACGTCCTTGCATACAGGCCCAACAACTTCAGCACAAATTTTTCCGCCGCCATTATTTAAAGACATTCCCAAACTCACGACTGTTGATCCTCAGTTTTATCGTGCTGGTATTGGATTACCTCCTGGCGGCTATACGGGTTACAGTTCGGCAGGTCTTTTACATACTGGTTTGGGGGGAACAACACCGTTCATGCCCCCGAACCATTTGACCGCTTTTGCTCCCAAGGTAAGCCAAACAAAAACCTGATATATATTTTATATTTAATAAAACGCATTTAACCAAAGGTAAGAAAATAAAATTTCCATAAATATTTTGCATACAGACAGCTTTCATCCTATCTTTGTGCGGGTCGTTTAGAGTGTAAGCTTTTTTTTAGAGCTTTTTTTAAACTAAAATATAACAGTGATGGAAAAAATAAAAGAAACGACTTTATTTTAAAACTATAAGCTTTTTGTATTGAGAGAGAGAGGGAGCGAGAGGGAGTCGGGACGAAATTTTTAAATACTCTTGTTACAGTATGATATCACTGGTGTATGGATACAAAATATGGTATCTTTAGTTCTTGTAGTCTCTGAGATTGGACGCTAATCAAGCCGGACGGACAGACAGAGTTGGCTACATCGACTCGGTTATTGATGCTGATGAAGAATACTATATATGGGCATTTTCAAAAAGTCCAAAGGGACAATCGGGACGATTTAACAGCTAATGAAAATATATATATCAATTGATGAAATTCGCTTAGTTTCAATATTTTTGAAAGAAAATATCGGGAAAAAAGTATATGGAAATGTGTTTTTATTAAATTTTAATTTGTGACCCTGACAGACTTTCCGTGAAAAAGTCCATATACTTTATGGGGTCGGAAACCCTTCCTCCTGGATATTATACGCATACAAATGCATCACAAAATTAATATATCCCTAAATTTTTCGAGTACTGGGTATGAAAACTGAACACCATAAGATCCTTAACGAGTGATTGACGCATCGAAAATCTACTGTAAAAAGTAAAACTAAGAAACAAACTACGACACGCCGAAATTCGATTTATCTTCACCAGAAATAGCAGCATAACCTGGAAAAAATTCGTTTTTTCAAACAAGCTTGATTTTAATATCATTTTTGAATTCATATTTATCTAATAGCAACAAATTTGTCAAGAAAAAAGCATAAAAAAAAAAATGAATGAGTTATAGCAATTACGAAAAAAAAAAAACGGCGCCGACTATCTCCTATGCCTCTTATTTAAATACTAGCTACTCAGTGATTATTAACTATTTATTTATATTTAAGCTCAACGGAAAGTCAAAAAAATGCTATGCTAAGTACTCGCCAAGGCAAATTTTTTTTCTTAATTTTGGCTATATCAATGATTTGAACTTAATGGTCAGTAATTTGTTAGATAATTCTTTCATTTATTATGACATTAAGATTGGATTTTGATGCTGATCTGGAATACTTTATTGCGTCGGCAACACATTATTTTGTGTGTTTCATAGATTTATATGAAATTTTGTAGCTCGGTATCGGGTATCGGTGTATCGGGTATAAAAATGAGAATATTGAAGACAAATTTTTGTTTAGAGAAGAAAATTTAAATATAAAAAAAAAGTCGTTTCTATTATTTTTTTGTCATCGCTATAGTATGTGTATGTACACTTCAATGTCATTATAAGCTTTTTATTTTCGTTTTTGTTTTTCTCATTTACTAAAAGTATATACGTATATGAATTTATGCTTGCACTCCTTACATTAAAAGTAAAACAAATTAATAACAAAATTATTTCATAGTTTTAGGACATATTTTGTAAAAACAACGTTTTTCTAAAAGTTGTTTGGTTGTAAGCTATTGCGAGTAATTGAATAATTTAAAGTTTCAATATTCATAATAAGAAGAGGAGTGTAATGATGGATGCAAAAAAAAACAAGACCTGTGAAAATTCGGAAGAGTTTTTCCAAAACAAACGTTATGATGACTCCGGTCCAGCGGGCTCTAGTTTCGGTTTTTTACGTTAAATTGTCAGGTAATTTATGACTAAATAAAACAAGTGCTCGACTTCAAAGCATTTATTGGACTGGTCGCAGCCAGAGATAGCAATAACTCCCCGACTCCACCGTCGAGCCGATCTTGAATGCGCAGAGAGCAGTACAAGAGCGCGGCGTGTGAGAGCAAAAGCTCTGCTCACAACATCGCACACGCTAAGATAGGGTAATTAAGATCGTCTGCTGCAACATTCCGGCCCCGTTGAAGACCTCCGGTACTTCAACCATCTATTGGCAGTTTTGCCAATTTGTGTATGTGGCGTTTATTTACGCCCGCGGGTGTTCGCACCTCGGCGACGCGCACTCTCCCATCTTCTCCCTTGATTGCGGCCACCACTCGTCCTGTGGTCCACTTCTGTGGCGGTGTGTTGTCCTCGTGGACGAGCACTAGACAGCCAATGTCCAAGTCTGGCCCTTTGGTAGCCCACTGGTGACGCACAGGCTGACCAGGTAGTCCTTGGACCAGCCCTGCCAAAACTGCTGCTTGAGCGCTGACAGCATTCGCCACCGCTTCAAGTACGCGAAGCTTCCCCTGCTGCATCTGTCGTCGTGATCTGATTCGGGCGGCAGCGAAAGAAGCGGCTGCCCGATCAGCAGGTGCCCTGGCGTTAGCGCTTCTCCATCGCTGGGATCGTTGCCTGGGGACGCGATTGGCCGGGAGTTGAGAAGAGCCTCTACCAGGTGGGTGCACAGCTCGTCCGCGGTGAGCTTGGCGTTGCCCACTCCGCGTACCAACCTCTGCTTGGCTGATTTGACGGCTGCCTCCCACAATCCGCCGAAGTGTGGTGCTCTCGGTGGTATGAAACACCACTCGACGCACTGCGTACGCCTTGAGCCGGTCCTGGTCCCTCTGGTACGCTTGATACAGCTCGTTCAGCACCTTGCTCGCGCCCACGAAGTTGGTGGCGTTGTCGCTGTACACCTTCTCCGGAAGGCCTCTTCTCCCGATGAACCTTTTAAAAACAGATAAAAAACTATCAGTGGACAAATCTGCTACAAGCTCCAGGTGAACAGCTTTTGATACAAAGCAGACGAAGACGGCTACATATGTCTTAATAGGGGGCCTGCCGCGAATCTTGAGAGACACGTAGAATGGGCCGCAGAAATCTACCCCACAAATCAAAAAGGGCCGAGCTCTTCGCACTCTATCAGCTGGCAGGTTTCCCATGATCTGTCCCTGTAGGACTGGCTTGTATCGGAAGCAGTGCACACAATTTCTCAGGATCCTTGTACATGCTTCTCGAGCATTGATTAGCCATATCTGCTGCCTTAGCAACGAAACCATGACTTTGGCGCCTGCATGGTAGAGAGTCCGATGCAAATTGCGAAGATAAAGCGTCACGAATTGCGACTTTTGCGACAGCAGCAGAGGAAATTTGGCGTCATACGGAATCTCTGCGTTGAGCAACCTTCCTCCCACTCGAATCAGTCGCAGCGTTACTCCGTCGAGTTCGCTCGTATGTATGAACGGGCTTAGTCGTTGAAGATGCGGTGACAGGATTTCCGACCTCGCTAGCTTGTGGAATTCTGGTCCCAACTCGTGTCTTTGGACTACTTCTACCAGCCTTAGAAATGAGACCTTAAATTCTTTGGCTGACAGAACGACCTCTCGACTACGCTTGCTTCCTTTTAGGAACCGGTTTACATATGCCATAATCCGAAGCAATTTCTCAAAAGAAGAGCATCTTTCAATCAACTCGATGAAATCATTGGCCTGACACTTTGCCACTGAATGTGTTGCCAAACACTTCTTGTTTTCCGACCGTTCCATTTCTGGGGACAACTCAACCCGATGTAGACATGGCCACTCCTCAGAATTCCTGAGCAGAAATTGGGGACCATCAGTCCACAATGAGCACGTTACACCGTCTACGTCTGTGCCACGTGACACCAAATCGGCTGGGTTTTGCTCAGTAGGAACGTGCCGCCAAGTCACACCGCTTGACGATTCCTGGATTTCAGCAACCCTATTAGCCACAAACGTTGCGAGCGTGGCTGGATCCCTTTCCAGCCAGTACAAGGTGACTTGGGAGTCCGACCAAAAGTTCACACTTTCGATCATGAACTTGTCCAGGAGCGGTTTTACTTGAGCCCATAAAGTGGATAACAGGAGTGCTGCGCACAATTCGAGTCTTGGAATCGATTTCGTTTTGAGAGGAGCTACTCGAGACTTTGCGGTAAGAAGCTTAGACACGACATTTTTACCATCACTGGTACGGATGTAAATGCAGCATCCGTACGCTTCACCTGATGCGTCTGCGAATCCGTGAATCTGAACGCTTTTATGCGTGGGAAGGCCAATGTAGCGAGGAATGGTTATCTTGTCTAATTCAAACAAATTTTGCTTGAAGTGGTTCCAACTCGTGTGCAAACTCATGGGAACCGACTCGTCCCAATCCAACTTTTGCCGCCACAATTGCTGCAGCAATATTTTTGCCCTCGTTATTAAGGGACATAATAACCCTAATGGGTCGAACAATCGGGACGCAACTGACAAAATGTTTCGCTTTGTAGGGGTCAATGAATCAAATGAGTCATCTAAATGATAATGGAACAAATCATTTTGCGGATTCCATCTAATTCCGAGCGTTTTAACAGACGACGAAGGATCAAACTGCAGCGATTTCTCCTGGCCACTATCGGATAGCAGCTGGGGATGATTTGACGCCCACTTGGCCAACTTAAAACCCCCGGATTCTAAGACCTCACACACTTCCAGCCGAATACGTTCTACATCTTCCAGACTGTTTGCTCCAGTAAGCATATCATCGACGTAAAAGTCACTTTTTATGACTTGTGATGCAATAGGATGGGACTCAGCATAAACGTCTGCCAATTCAACGAGACAGCGGATGGCCAGAAATGGAGCTGAGGCGGTCCCATAAGTAACCGTATTCAGGCGATACGTTTGAACATCTACATTTGCCTTATCCCTCCACAGAATCAATTGGAAATTTCGGTCTTCTTCGGCGACCTGAACTTGCCTATACATTTTGGAGATGTCAGCTGTGAGCGCAAAACGATTTAATCGAAATCGGGCAAGAGTTGCGTAAAGCTCCCTCTGAATAGTTGCACCCACCATCAAAGTCTCATTTAATGAGATTGAAGTCGATGTTTTGCTCGATGCATCGAAAACGACGCGTAGCTTGGTGGTTTTACTATCAGGTCTCAGGACACATTGATGTGGAATGTAGTAATGGCGTCCTGGAGGAGTGCCTGGAAGCAATGACATGTGGCCAAGGATGAGATACTCTTTCATAAACTCCATATACAGATCATGCAAATACTGATCTCGTGCAAGTCTGCGTTCTAGGGATAGAAAGCGGCGTTTTGCCGTCTCGAACGAGAAACCCAACACGTTGGGATTTATTTTAAATGGCAGCCCCACTTCAAAACGACCCGATTCGAGCCTGCGTAAAGTCTGCTTAAAGTTTTGTTTGCAAGCCAATTGTTCAGCTGTATATACAGCCTTCGACTTCTCTGGGACCTGTTCCAATTCCCAAAAGCGCTCCACCAGAGAGTCCAGAGAACAATGATCGCTACCAACAGCGATATTGCAGACAGCATCCTGTGCTGATGCCTTATATTTTCCTGATACAATCCATCCCAACAATGTTTTCTGGATTGTTGGATGTTCGGAACTTGCCTTTAATTGGCCTACACACATTAACTCAAAAAAGGTTTCTGCCCCTATCAATAAGTCAACCTTAGCAGGCTTGTAAAACTGCGGGTCTGCCATCTGCAGGTTTGCTGGTATCTTCCATTGGGCGAAATTGCCAACATGATCGGGTTGGTATGTGGATATCGACCTTAACACCCAAAAATCGGAATCAAAGTTGTGATCGTTGATACGAGATTGGACAGAAGTATGAATCTTGTGCTTTATGACGGACGAGTTTTTCCAACAGTTGTGATATTAAGGCACGACTCATCACGGCGCAATCGTAAGCGATGGGCTAGATCCTCGGATATAAAATTAGTTTGGGAGCCGGAATCTAGAAGTGCCCGTGCATACTGAAATTGTCCGGACCGATCTTGCACCTTTACAACAGCGGTAGCAAGAATAACCTGGTCAGCACTTTTCTTCAATCCACCAATATTCCGCATATAATAAATATTTTATGGTGCTGGCTGTTCACTTTGGTTTATTTTATTACTTTGTGTTTTATTTAATTGGTATTCCAATTCAACGAGGTGCCAATGAAATTGAGATCAGTGGCCAAATAGAGAAACACAGCGCACAAAATGGTGGCTTGGTTCTAGCACTCAGTTTTTTTTTCGCACTTAATACCTGAGAATTCGGCATAGATTAGCCGAACACTTTCCTTTTTTGTTGAGTAAAGATGAATCCAATTTGTCGCACAAAACCAGCCAGCTAGAGCTCTATTCGCAACAGAACAAAAAAACCAATGACTTGTGCCGAGACAACGAAGATGCACTGTAGGTCACTGGTTTGTCGTGCGAATTTCCACGAAATGCTGGATGCCGATGTCCCTGCTCGGGCGCCAATGAAAATTCGGAAGAGTTTTTCCAAAACAAACGTTATGATGACTCCGGTCCAGCGGGCTCTAGTTTCGGTTTTTTACGTTAAATTGTCAGGTAATTTATGACTAAATAAAACAAGTGCTCGACTTCAAAGCATTTATTGGACTGGTCGCAGCCAGAGATAGCAATAACTCCCCGACTCCACCGTCGAGCCGATCTTGAATGAGCAGAGAGCAGTACAAGAGCGCGGCAGCAAAAGCTCTGCTCACAACATCGCACACGCTAAGATAGGGTAATTAAGATCGTCTGCTGCAACAACCTGGACAAAAAACAAAAATATCCAAAACTTTTGACTAAAATATGCTGAGATTCGTGAGGCAATGCTGATTTATATTTTTGCTAATAAAAAAAAAAAATTCTATGGAGGCAAACCCTTCTAAACTACCTATAACACTAATACTTATAATAAAAGATATGATATCTGACAATCTAGTGTCCAAAAGAACCACTTAAAAATTATATCTTTTCTATCGAAGAAGGATGTACCCAAGATGATGATTTATTACTATTTTTATAGCCTAAAGAGTATGAAATTAGGAAAAAAAATTATTTATTTATTTTTTCACCACTACACTTGGAATTTTTACTTTTACTTGAAGGAGTGCAAACATAAAAAAAGTCACAAAAATTAAGATCACTTTAAATTTGCTGAAAATTTTAATTTTATAGAGCTTTTGCTGAAACATAGCCAAGTGCCCTTATTATTTTGTACACCACTGTAAGTACACTGCCCCTCCCTTACATAGAAACACGATTACTTTATTATACCCGATACTCAAAATGAGTATTGGGGTATATTAGATTTGTGGTAAAAGTGGATGTGTGTAACGTCCAGAAGGAATCGTTTCCGACCCTATAAAGTATATATATTCTTGATCAGCATCAATAGCCGAGTCGATTGAGCCATGTCTGTCTGTCCGTCTGTCCGTCTGTCCGTCTGTCCGTCCCCTTCAGCGCCTAATGCTCAAAGACTATAAGAGCTAGAGTAACGATGTTTTGGATCCGGACTTCTGTGATATGTCACTGCTCCAAAAATATTTCAAAACTTTGCCCCGCCCACTTCCGCCCCCACAAAGGGCGAAAATCTGTGGCATCCACAATTTCGACGATACGAGAAAACTAAAAACGCAGAATCGTAGAAGATGACTATATCTTCTAGAGTGCAAAATCTGAACCAGATCGTATAATTATTACAGCCAGAATCACGAAAACAATTTCACTCTTTCTCGCTCTGTCTCACTCTAACACACAGGTTTCATGGTCGGTTTTGCCAATTGCAAAATATGAGTTCAAGGATCTCAGAACCTATAAAAGCCAGAGCAACCAAATTTGGTATCCACACTCCTGTGATATCGGACCTTGACCGTTTCATGTCCAAATTTCGCCACACCCCCTTCCGCCCCCGCAAAGGACGAAAATCTGAGGCAACCACAAATCTCAGAGACTATTAAGGCTAGAGTAACCAAATTTGGTACACACACTCCTTTAAGATGTCACTATAAAACGTATATCTCAGAATTTCGCCCCACCCCCATCCGCCCCCACAAAGGACGAAAATCTGTTGCATCCACAATATTGCAGATTTGAGAAAACTAAAAACGCAGAATCATAGAGAATGACCATATCTATCAGATTGCTGAGTCTGGATCAGATCAGATAATTTTTATAGCCAAAAGGAACAAATCAATTTGCATTGGCTACGCAGCGCCCGACGTCACGCTCAGCCTGATTTTCTGTCTCTCTCGCACGCACTTTTTGTCGTGTCGTTTAATATTAGCGGCGTCTGCCGGAGGAAAGCCATACTGACTAAGTATCGGGTATAACTGTAGAGTTGCGGTGTCCGCAGCAACTCACAACGTTCCCCCTCGTTTTTACTTGTGGTACAGCCCCGTTTTTGCAACAAATTAATTGAACAATATTTTTCTGGAACGATTCAATTCAAAAATCTCCGTTAAAAAGCGACAAAACCACTGTTCTTACTCAAGTGAAAATTCGAGGAATTTTACAATGAATCATACAAAATAATGGTAATCGTTTCTGTATTAAATTTATTTATAATAAAAAGAGTTTTGAATTTTACTTTTAAGCAAAAATTTGACCGGGGCTGTTTCAGTAATGGAAGATTTGCCAAATTAAAAAGGAAAAGTTTTCCATCTCCCTATAAAAGTAAACGGATAAGTGTATGAACATGTGTAAGATTAAAGTGCACGTATGCAAAATCGGTAAAGTTGCAACACTCATGCACGTTTATTTACTATGTGTACAAAACTATTAACAGCAATTATCAACAACCAAATGCAGAAAGGGTTTTTCGACAACATGACTTATTGACTTAACATTGACTTATTTAAACACTCACAACCAGGCCAACTATTTTGCCTCAAATGAACTATCTTAGCATTGTTATTTATGGAGAATACATAATAATTTTAAACAGAAAACTGGTCGTTGGAATGCCATGCATGTTCGTATTGCGTGGGAAATTTATTACCACCAAAACAAGCAATGTTCTGATAAGACAGGATGTCCTACAGGCGGAAATGGTGCAAATGGAAATTTGACCTCCAACAATACGCCAATCACCGCAAGTAACCTGGTAACCGGAGCCGGTGGAAGTAGCATTGTTAGCACTGCCAGCACAATTAATAATGTTGGTTCTTCCTCGGCTATTGGAGGCGGTATCGTTAGTGCAAGTGGGCCAACACCGTCAATTGGTATTAAATCATCAACAGCTATTGCAATGAATACAACACAACAGCATCTTCTTCAAAGGACGAATGAACTTCCACCACCTGCAGCGTTTGCAAATGCATTACCAGGACGTTCTTCATTTGAAACGTCTCCTTTGGCGGCGAGTTTTATTGGAGCACCGCCTAGTCATATCGGTAAACTGTAAAAATTGTAAATAGCTAATTTTAGTTAATAACTGAAAACATTTTGACAGGTACGGCTGTTTCTCCTTTTGGACGCTATGTAGCTCCATTTGGGTTCACGGGTATGACGCATTTCGGCGGACATATAGACGCATGGAGGTAAGTGATGTCATGTATTTACATATATTTATAAATGATATCCATGGGTAGGATTACTATATAATATCTCTATTAGATATTATAAAATAAATATTATAGAAGCCATATTCTATAGTTATATAATTTGTATCCAGTTTAGCTGAGATGTGGAAAATTAAACTAGATCAGGAGCATGATATTTTAGTTTAGGAACAGTCCAACAAAACTGAAAAAAAAAAACCCTATGAGCGAGGCTCAAATCATGTAGCGGTCACACACTGGGCTCTCACACGACATGTATTTTTTTTTCATTCTGGGTCCTTCACTGCGTTAGATCCCACGCAATTCAAAAATCGACCAAACGTTCGTATCGATTGGTGTAAGAAAATGATCAAGAATTACGATCGTGGTGCTTCACAAGCTGTGTATAACATTTCTACAGGTGACGAATCATGGACTTATAATTACGAAACAAAACATTAATCGAAGGTTTGGGTGTTTTAAAACGAGCCAAATGCTACAATAGTTTTCGCAACGAATTATGAGACCAATTATGAGTGGTAAATAACCATTTTTGACCTGAAGTTATTACACAATTTCGAAAAAACCAACCTCCAAATACGGACCAAATTACTGGAATACTACTAAAAAAAAAATAATTCTACCGCAATCCGAGCTCTTACGCCCGAGCTCGCTCCACTCAACAGATTTTTGAACACCAAAAATATTGGATTAAGGGGTCATCTTGGGCCTTGCCAACATTTCCTCACATCTAAAGGGATCTTTTTGTTTACAGCTGTAAAAAAAATTGAGTGGTCAACGTGACGTGAAAAAGTTTCAAAATAGGTATTAATATTGTAAGAGAAATTTTTGCATAGCTAGGGAAGAAAAGCAACGTGCGTACACATGAAAAAAAATAGCAAGCAAAATAAAACTTAAAAAAGTCAAATTTTGTTGCCTAATTTTAATTAAAGATAACATGATATTTACAAAATACCACAAATATTTTTAAGTATTGGGTAAATTTGTTTTAAAAGATAAAAAAAAATGTAGAAGATAATGTCGGGACAGAATTTTATGGAAATGGTTTATTTTATACTTTTCTCTCGTAGGACCTTTCCAGAGAAATTTGTTTAAGTATTTACTTTTTTTAATTTAAAAAAATAGGCTTTGGGGTTGCACTTCTAAGTATGGGCATGAGACTTCTCAACCAGGCCTAACCATATTTTTCGTCACGTGCAAAGTATATTCAAAAGTTTTCATTTTGTAGCACAGTGTTATTATTAATATTATCAATATGGAAATGTCAAATAAGGACAATATAAACCATTTTGTGCAGGTGCGTTATATAGTCGTGCTTGCAAGGGTACAGGCATGGCTCCGAGCATTTTCGTGTACACCATTTCACCACAGGTAGCAATATGTGAGTCCCCAACATTTCGGAAAAAATTATTTTGGCAATAACAAATTAATGCCACCAATTTTATTATTCTAGCTGTAAAACTGATACCACAGTTACGACAAGACACGAATTAAATTAGTGAGGGGCTCTTTCCGAATTTATTCAAATGCTTTCAGTTGAAGAAGTGGAAGAAAGAATAAAGCGTTTCCGACCCCATAATAGACAGAGTCTGTCTATCGGACGAGTGTTTAAGCCGTCGCGAGTGTTTTATGAAGTTAATAGGAAAATAAGCATTCATTCAAAATACAAAAACAAATACCACTACAATTACCAATTATTAGAAAGGTGTGTGAGGATTAGTAAAATAATAAGAGGAAGAGAATTAGTGGTGGATATAATATGGTAGAGGGAATTATAATCCGAGCATAAGACCCTAAACGGTTCATGTAAGGAATAATTCGGTCTACAAAGTTGATGTTGAATCGTGAAGTTTATGCGGCCCAACGGATCAGGGTATATGTCACCCCCGATCAAGTTGTGCATAAAAATCACACCAAGCATTTTACGGTTAACAAAGGATGGGAGGTTTACTAAAAGCAGTCACTCACACCTTCATCCCAGTTAAGGCCCCGCAGAGCAAAGAGTACAAAGTTTTCCTGTACTTTTTCTATATGGTCCTGGTGTACTTTGTACTGAGGGCACCATACACTGGAGCTAAGCTCGGACAAACAAGCGAGGGGTCGTCAAATTCCTTTGACCACCTCTTTATAAACACAAGAAGGCCCATGGCCTTATTTACCATTGTAGAAATGTGTTCAGAAAACTTTAGCTTGGCGTCTAATATAACACCAAGATCATCCACCGGGGTAATTCTATCAAGAGATCCACCACATTATTGTGTATCGAGTTTATACAACACCATGACTGAAAGTTATTGAGATCGGATTGCAAGCGAGAATGAAATGAAATGTCCTTATACTGGACACAGAGTTTAACATCATTCGCATACATAAGTACTCCAGAATATGTTAATACCGAAGGCAAGTCAGGGTGCCTGCCCTGTGGCACTCCCGAAAAAACCTTTACTGGTGAGGAGAGCGAGTTTTTGAAGAGGACTCTTTAAGACTTGGAACAAAGATAGCTAGAAATCCATCTCAGGTTGGGCGGAAACCCTTAAAGGTCAAGTTTATGTGCTAAAAGGGAATGGTTTACAGAGTCGAATGCTTAACTAAAGTCGGTGTAAATAACATCTGTCCGTAAGTTACCTTGAAAGCCTTTAACAATAAAAGAGGTAAACTCTAAAAAGTTCGTGGTGGTTGATCGCCGCCTCATAAATCCATGCTAAGTTGGAGATATAAGTGACTTTCAGAGATGTTGCAAGTGTGGAGTTAAGACCTTCTCAAACATTTTATGAATAGCGGATCACTTTGCTGTACCTCTATAATTTTTTTCGTCAGACTTGCTACCTTTTTTATGGAGATGAATTATAAAAGATCCCTTCCAGATCGGGGGAAAGCAAGAAGGATCAATGGACAGGGTGAATCAAGGGTCCATACAGAGCCTTGGTGCAGTACCTGAGTACACAACCTTGAACCCCGTCTGCACCCGAGAAAATGCCGTCTTAACTAGTGAAAATCATGAAGTAGAGAACATTCATTTAATAAGGGACTGAAATTGCCGTTCGACCTCGGTAAACTGTATGGGTACGGATTACCAGTGAGTAGTACTTTTCCTCAGAATAGATGGTTTGGAAAAATTGGGCAAAAAATTCGGCAATTGCCGAGGTATTACGGACGTTCTACGTATTTGTATTCCGGGGATTTCTATAGATTGTTATACCCGATACTCAAAATGAGTATTGGGGTATATTAGATTTGTGGTGAAAATGGATGTGTGTAACGTCCAGAAGGAATCGTTTCCGACCCTATAAGATTTATATATTCTTGATCAGCATCAACAGCCGAGTCGATTGAGCCATGTCTGTCTGTCCGTCCCCTTCAGCGCCTAGTGCTCAAAGACTATAAGAGCTAGAGCAACGATGATTCGGATCCAGACTTCTGTGACATGTCACTGCTACAAAAATATTTCAAAAGTTCGCCCCGCCCACTTCCGCCCCCACAAAGGACGAAAATCTGTGGCATCCACATTTTTAAGGATACGATAAAACCAAAAACGCAGAATCGTAGAGGATGACTTATATCTTCTAGAATGCAAAATCTGAACCAGATCATATAATTATTATAGCCAGAATCAAGAAAACAATTTCATTCTTTCTCGCTCTGTCTCTCTCTAACACACAGGTTTCATGGTCGGTTTTGCCAATTGCAAAATATGAGTTCAAGGATCTCAGAACCTATAAGAGCCAGGGCAACCAAATTTGGTATCCACACCCCTGAAATATCGGACCTTGACCGTTTTGTGTCAAAATTTCGCCACACCCCCTTCCGCCCCCGCAAAGGACGAAAATCTGGGATATCCACAAATCTCAGAGATTATTAACGCTAGAGTAACCAAATTTGTTATCCGCACTTCTGTTAGATCTCACTATAAAACGTATATCTCAAAATTTCGCCCCACCCCCTTCCGCCCCCACAAAGGACGAAAATCTGTTGCATCCACAATATTGCAGATTCGAGAAAACTAAAATCGCAGAATCATAGATAACGACCATATCTATCAGATTGCTGAATCTGGATCAGATCAGATAATTTTTATAGCCAAAAGGAACAAATCAATTCGCAGTGGCTACGCAGCGCCCGACGTCACGCTCAGACTGATTTTCTGTCTCTCTCGCACGCACTCTTTGTCGTGTCGTTTAATATAAGCGGCGTCTGCCGGAGGTGAGCCATACTGACTTAATATCGGGTATAACTGTAGAGTTGCGGTGTCCGCAGCAACTCACAACGTTCCCCCTCGTTATCTTTTGTAGAGTGTAGCATAAAGTCGCCAAAAGGTGCTTTTCCTCACTTTACAGCATCACTACTGTCAGGTCATCCGTGTTGTAATGTAACGTAAGGTAAGAATGGTGTCGTTATGGGTGGCTGGCTCACCTGCACATAACGGATTGACTACTATCGTCAGGTGCCGTCTTCCTCTTGTTCCGAGTCCTCTATCACACAACCCTGGACTGACTCGACGATGGTCTCCAGCCTTACTCGGTCTTACCAGGTCTTACTCGCCTGCCTGCAGGGTGTCAGCTATACGCTGTCCCACGTCATCTTCCTGAAGCTGGGGTAGAGCAGATCCTTCACCTCCTTGTTAATTTGGATAATGACGCACTGCCCCAAACCGTTGGGTAGTGATCTTCCATTGTTCAGAGCCTTCAAGTTCTCCGTTGGTACTTCTGAGTTCTAGCGCTGTATAATCTTCATCATAAAGAATATATATTCTTGATCATCATCAATAGCCGAGTCGATGTAGCCTGTCTGTTCGTCCGTCTTTTTTGGAGCCTAGCTCTCAGAGACTATAAGAGCTAGAGCAACGAAATTTTGTATCCTGACTTCTGAGATAAAACACTGAATCAAGTTTTTTTTTAAATTTGACCACGCTCTCTTCTGCCCCCAGAAAGTACGAAATCTGTGGCATCCACAATTTTGAAGATACGAGAAAACCAAATGCA